TCCTAGTTGTGCAGATTTAACCTCTTGTTGGCTAGGTAGTAAAGCTAGGTTCATCAATTAAGTTTCAAGTGTCAAATTGAAATTCAATCGCCGTAATGCCCCAAACAAAACATGTATTACAGTCATGGGCCAAATATTACGTTGAGTTCAATATTGTAAACGACAAGGTGGACAGGCAGAAAGTTTAAGATAAAAAGCAAAACAATAAAGAAATTATTTTCGTCAAACGTTAATTCCTGACAGATTATGTTGTACAATTATAAAAATTAGACAATTTTTACAATTATAAATGACAATTTTTGTACAATTATAAAAAAAATTATATTCTTCTGTGTCTATTCTATCGTTTTATATTCTTTATATACTATTATTTTATGTGTGAAAAATGTCAAAAGTTGTATTTCCTTTGTTAGGATTTCTTTCAAATATTATGAGGAAGAATAATTTTTCCAAGAGGTACTATTCAATTTACATCGTGGTGCCACTGTTTAGTACGCTTACCAAAGACAGAAGATACAGTTTTCAATCAGTTTTTCTTTCCAGAATTATTTTATGACCTTGTGAATTTCATGAAATGGATGTCCGTAATTTTATTTTCCATGTTCCGTTATCTTATATAATGATTACAGTTCTTTTATCATTGATTTTTCTACTCACACGCAACATTCTTGTAATTTCTTTTATTCCTTTTTCACATTTCAATCAATTTCCTACTTAGATCGAAAGATGACTGATATGATGTTTAGATATCTATCTCACTCTTTCGGTATATTTTCAAAGGATTGGACAAAGCCATCGTGTTTCGTGTTTTATTTTACAAATATAGCATGCAAAACGGAGCATGCTTAACAGAAAAAGGATATTGTGATACTGATCTCTGAAGTGCTTATCGTTTGAAAATTCTCTCCTAATAGTCAACCCAAAGCGGGGTTTGTTGTCCCCCTCCCCGAATAAAAAAAAAAAAAAAAAGACGTGCGGCGTGGCAATTACCTGCCGGGCAGGGGGAGTTGAGAGAGTCCGCAGCAGTCCATCTCGAGTGCGGAGGCGAGAGCGAGATCGAAGGATGAAGAGCTACTCGATGAAGGTGAGTTGCAAGGACGGCTCCAGGGCTACGGTGGATTAATACGTAAGCATATTAAGTCCTGTGCCATACAAGCGTTGCGCCGACGCGCGTTAAATAATGTACGTTGGACATTGACTCTGTATCTTGTCACACGAGCGCTGTTGGCGACGTGCGTTGTGAACGAGCAGAATTAGGTGACGTACACTGGGTAATATCAACGCGCGTTGACCAAACGGATCCTTCAGTGGAAGGTAACGTTATATTTCTTCGCATTTTGTAATGAATTATTTAATTAACTTGTGTTTGATTTACGAACGGACACTGGGTCGTTCGGAATGTAAATTTTTCTACACAAACCAGAGCCTTCAAGAATAGAAAAGCGTACAAGTCAATTTCCAAAACCGTTACTCCTATGGCAAGAGTCAAGGCGTCATTGATAATAGTTGAATCTCGACTCAGTAAATTTCAGTACAACGTAACTATAGTGCGAATTTTATAAAGCTACTTCTCAAGGCCTGTCTTCACAGAGGCATTATAACATTGCATTCGCGTCTTTCTCGCCGTGCCGCTAGATGTGGCATAGTCGCGACCGTAACAAGCACTGTTTGATCAGACGACATTCGCGACACGACCAAGAAAGCAGTGCCATAATGCCAGCGAAATGCAGTGACATAATGCCACTATCAAGATGGGCCTTGATAAGCAGCTTTATAAAAATCGCGCTATAGAACAGCTGCGAATGATTCCAATCATCCACTATTTCTTGAATATAGAACTATACTGAATCAAAGAAGAGATGTTATCCGAACCATAACGACTTTTTTCCCCTGAAACATGCGCTGAGGTAAAATTGCAAACAATTCTGTACCGTACTATAAAATAGTAGTTGACGTAACAAGAGCTCGAAACAAGTGGTTAATGCACGAGTCGAGTTTGTCGTTCTCGCTGCGCTCGGACGACAAAGAGAGGAGGGCGGGAATTACCTCGCGCCCGTGTTGCGTTTTCTATTTTTAACATCCCGTGAGCGAAACGCAATGCTTCATAAAATGGAATATAAATTTTATTTTACCTTCCTTGAACAAAAGTAAATGGATTCCAGTAAGTGTCGTAACACTACTATTTGTAAATAATAAACAAAGACGTCGTCAAGACGAAAGACATAGTTTCAAATATTTTGCACACGCTTCGCGATATTTCGCACACCGTGAAAGAATTAGCAGTTTCACACGCGTAAAACAAGGACGAGAAACCGCGTTTCGCGCACGACGTGTTAAGAAAAAATATTCGAAGTTAAACGGTAAGTATTACAAAGAGTAATATCTGATAAAAAATGAAATGAATTCTTCTCTCAAAATGGGAATGCGAAGGACGTTCTTCTCAAAAGCAAATATCATAAAACATTTGCTGATATATCTGTATGTGACTCGAACCTCTTTGTTACGTCTTTGTGCCTCTCCAAGTAATAATTTCTGAAAAACTTGTCTGGAAAAATCCTCGTCCCTCTTCGCCTCAGTTCTGAAGACCTATTAAAATTAAATTGGTTCGCGAGAACATCGATGTGGTGGTAAATGAGATGAACTACATAGAAAAACAGATATTGAGAATACAGCCGACATCGGTTGATCTCCACGGTGAGGATGTAACAATAACCTGCAAGATATTTTCTACAATGGTTTACGGTAAAGTATATAACGCTTTATCAGCCACAAAATCAGCTCAGAAGTGCTAATAATGCGGTGTCACGTTCAAAGAATTTAATAATATACAAGAAATTATTTTAAGGAAAATAGATTAAACTAAATTGAAGTTTGGGTTATCTTCATTACTTCCGTGGATAAGATTTTTTAAGTTTGGATATAAAAAAGAAACGCATTAAAATGCAAATCAGGGGGGAAAAGGGTCTGAATGTAGATCGTCCCAAGCAGGGTTTTGGTAACAGCAACGAGACACTTTTTTGAGAATCCTAAAGGATCCTCAGAAATAACGGGGATAGATGAGGGCATAATCAAGAAATTCAAAACTGTTTTATAAGCAATGTATATACCATTAACATTCCTTTTTTTAACGTTCTATGGAATATTAACTTATAATCCACTGGAAATTGCCAAGAAATATGTATCCAAATATTCATGGTATGTTCACAGTTGTTCACATATCTACTACTGTGTACACATTTTAATATATGGTTCAAAAATAATTTATACTGCTCTTCTTATCCATTGATCAATTATCAGAAGAAGCTCAAGAATTGCGCCATAAAAATTTTAGGCGGTACAGAGAACGATTTTCATGAAAATTTTCAAGACTCCACACAATCCAGGACATGTTTAATCGCCTATTGATCTCTCCTGATCCCTTCATTTTCAGGTTGAGGGATCTTCCCTAAAAAAGTTAAAATTCTCGGTCAAAGATGTTTTGTCTCTTTTGTCTGAGCCTGATCTCATTGGAGTAACTTCTAGTGAAAATGTGCTCTTCCTTTCCGGTTCTTCAGACTCTGAAGATGAATTTTCTCTGGCAGAGGGCAAGAATTAGTATTAATTCTATACTTTTTTATGCCAAATGTTATTAATTCATATTTAAAAAATCTTTACAGTTTTCTAAACTCAATGTTGTAATGTGATAAAATTTAAGAAAGTTTGTGAAGAAAAATATATATTTATATTTCAAAGAATTATGCAGTACATTATTCTGATTCTATGTTTCTAGAACCCTTACGTTGTACAGATAATTTTCGCCGTCGTAGAAAATATTCTGTATCTCCCAGAGGTTTTGGACAGGAATTAGCCAAAATGCACTACTGTGCGTAGGAAGAAAAATTAAATCTTCTTCTTAATTGAAATCATTTTTTAGCGTCTTAGTCAAATTTTCTAGGTATTGCTTTGTCCCCGCACTATATTTTCAAAAAGTTCCTGTATTTTTCGTAACACTATTCATAAATATTGTTCTTAGACAAACAAATAAACAAATAAAACACAATTTTCTAGATCGTCAAAATATTTTAACATATACGTCTTCAGAAAACTCTTCATATTTTAAAGAATATATAATATCATTATCACAAACGTTGTTTCACGCCTTCTACTTGATATCGATTTCAACGTTTTCTCTTTGCATTTTCAATAAAAGTTCGTTCCAGATGTCTCTTCCTCAAGTAACATTGCTCATTGTTCATAGATGTCTCTGCTGCACATTGCCTTCGGAGGCGGTGTGTTTGAATAAATCAAATATCTTTAACATTAAAAATTCGCTAGTTGTGACTCATATTTGTGTAATTTAATCTAAAAATGTTTATTCTAAAAGATACGGAATCGTTTCATTTGATCTTCACCTCGATATACATACGCCATAATCTACTTTCATTAACAAGCCAAGTGAAATACTCAAGCAAATTTCTCGAAAATACCAAAATGTTTCACGAAATATAGCTGTAGATTTCTTTAATAGCTCTTACAATTGTCGGCATTATAATCCGCGAGTCGGATTGGCGGTGTGTTTGAAAATATACTAAAAAAAATTACTTCGTATTTTAAGAAAATGCCGTGAATATTGAAACAAAATACGACTTGCTTGTTTCTTGTGGTAATATGATTTATCATGTTAGTCGTGTATGTTTGAATTGGCCTGTATGTATCTCTTTCTAGGCTCGTTTACGGGTAGATTTAAAGTTTATCCAGCTCAATATCACATGCGAAACTTAATTTAAGTAGTTAACTTTACAAAGAAAATGCGAGTGGAAAGCATTCGTGAATCGTATTGGCGGCGAGGGAGGGCGGGCGAGAAGAGGCGGCCGCGCGGGGCGGTGCCCGGCCGGGCGCGGTGGCGCGCGCCTGTAATCCCGCTTCCGGGAGGCCGGGTGTAGAGGACGGTTTGAGGGCGGGGCTCCTCCCCTCGGGCCCAGCCATGAGGACTGGGCGTCCGCACCAAGCCCGCCATCGACATGGGGGCCCCGGGGGAGCCCGGGGCGGCCAGGTCGGCTGAGGAGGGGCGCATCGGGCCAGGGGGGGAACCCAGCAGCCAGAAGCCTCCGTGGCGGGCGGTGGTGGGTTCGCGCCCGGGAGTGGACGCCGGAGGGGGGCTCGCGCGATACAATCGGACCTGCACCTTTTTTTATCTTTACTTTTTACAGTCTTTGCGTTAGAACTAAAGAAATAAATCCGAAAATGTAATTAAAATTCTTCATTAATTTAACTACATGTCAACAGAGTAACATATCACTTATCCATATTCTCCCATAGGCAGAGAAAAACAGATGTTCTAAAAACAATGACAGCATTCGATTCTGAGATGCATAATAAATTTTACATTTAGAACAATAAAAATCATCTTATAGAACAATGTAATGACGACACTGCTGGGACTTAAATTGAGTTAATATTAGTATATACAGTTAAATGTAGTTATTGCTCTTTACTATGTAAACTGTACCTCTTCAATATTTTATATTTCGAGTGTAACTTGTACATGGTCACGGATTTACTGCACATTGTCACAACAAACACTATATAGTGCAGTAATTTTTATTGTTGGTAAACGTTTTCTCCATGTTTTAATAAACAATCTAAGAGAGATAATATGTTGTAGTACAAATATTTTCTAGCGTCTTCATTTCGGACTTTTAAATAATCCATAATCATAGAATCTTTTGAAGCCAAAAAAAAAACAACAAAAAACACTCTCACGTTGTACTCTTACCACCGTTACATAAAAGACGCACTCGAGTTTTAATATACTTGTACATTGGCATATGAAAAGGTTGCGGTGCGGGCACTTGCATGCGTTTGGTCTATTGAAAAAAAAAAAATTACTATGAAAAATGTTAGGCGCTTCTTTCATATTCGAATAGGTTTAATTTGTCAATTCATTAACAGGCCCGGCGGATAATATGTTTGTGTAACTATACCCCCGAACTTCCGAGTGGGTAAAGTACCCACTTGAGATTTGGGATGAGAAAAATATTCCACAAACGTTCAATTCCAGGAAAGCCAAATTCCGGCGTTAAACGTTGTCACTTTTTATGTAATTGAATTTGACGACATGCATATTCGGACAACTAGGATATTAGGACTAGGATACTAGCATATTAGGACAACTAATTCTAATATTGATATTTTAAATACTTAAATATAACAAAAAAACTTTCTTTTGCATAGTAAGATGGCTCTCTGCCTCAAAATGATGGAAATCGTGAAATTTAGTGTTTTTCCATTTTTATTAGGTCGCATGCTGTTTTATTCTCTTTTATATGCTTCAAGCGTTGCTGCGTTTCTAAGTTTTTGAGAAAATATTTTTTTTGAACTGTCAGACCCTAAGTGAGTGAACTTTAGTTGCATTTTCCCGAATTGGAAATTTTCAACACTTTTTAATGCATGTCAAACATCATCAATTATAAACTGAAAAATTAATATAATTCTTTTTACAGCATATAACCCATGGTTTCTGTAGTGAATGAACTAGAATAGTTAAGGTGTCATTATTTCATGTATTCGGTTCTGTTGTCATATAACTCCTGTAATTTTCAGATTATCTCTGACGATGATCGTTACGCGATTAAAAAGATCTGAAGATTAAATGTATTTTGATACCTGACAACACTTTTTCTTTAATTAGATATTGATGAATGTAAAGGAACGCTGCGCTGTGTATACATATGTGTTTTTGCAATATTCGTGAAGACTGATCATTAAAATATTTGATTTGTTCCAATATTACACGAGAGTAATTGTTTTGCTGCTCTTGAGCAGTGTACGTGTTACATTTTGGAAAACCATTTTGTGTGGATTTGTGCAGCGACGGTTTTACTGCTGCAGTTCACTATCAGCTTGCAAGCTACTAATGTGTAAAATTAATTTGTATCAACTATTCAAAGATGTAATACAATTAATTCTGAATCAAAATGTATATCGAGAATTTTTTTTTTATATTTTGCTGGGTAAAAAGCAGGAAAAAAATACACATTTTTGAATGCACAATACTTTGACACATGTTGGGAGACCATTCAGGTGAACAAAGTTTATCCCAGCCGGGGCGGTGTCCTGCTGGAAAAGACATCTGGAGGAGCCCACGGCGTGTAGGTTGGCTTCAAATCTCAAACTTCAGTTGGGGGAAACACCAGCCCTTCCGTCTTAAAACTTGTACCACACTTACGGTACCGATGAACGAGTAGTTGATGTGCACGGAAGTGATACACACTTAAAAAATCCCCACCAAACGCATTTTGCCGGTAGTACAGCTGTACGTGCGCGGCGGCGGCGGCGGCTGTCGCAGGGCGCGCTCGCGAGGGGGCCTGCCGCCGGGCGCGGACGCTGCGCAGCCGCGGTGGCCGGAAGCTGCGCGCGTCGCCTGCGCGCGGCGCTGCGCCACGTGTGCCTGGCGTCGTCCATCCCCGGCCTGCGCTTCTGCGCCGCGCAGCACCTGCATCCGGTCGAGAGGTAGGAGCATTACGAGAGTAATAATGGAAGCTGATGGGGGTGCGTGGATTTGAATTCCTAACAGAGAGAGACGTGGATAAATATGCTTTGGTCATGTATGACCTGTGTATGTGTCTTTATGATAAAAGAAAATAATGGTTAAATTTAAATACTAATAATAGCAGCTACAACAATTAGTTGGACCTGTGTAAGAATTCTTATTTTGTAAATCATTCATTTAACAGTGAAAATAGCTTTATAGAGCCCATTCGACGAGGACTAAAAAATGTAGGCTAACTGAAAAATGTCGAAAATGTTTTTTTTGTTAGTGAATTGTAGAAACGTTCTCGGCTTCTCAGATCCTCCCGGAGACCCCAAATACGTATTTTTCTGATTTTTATTAAGTTTTTTGTCAATAACTCTTAAACTTTAAGGCCTGTAAAACGTCAATAGTATTCAGTGGGACAGACTGTCCTAAACGTTTTGTTTTAAAACATTAGTTTCTCAACCTAAAACCATAAAAGCTTTAGCCTTTAATAGCTATAAAGAGATACGTATAACATCATAATCATGTTATATGTGTATCTTTAATAGCTATACACGCATAACATTATAATGATGTTACATCAAACGTGTATCTTCCAATATTTAACCTACGTCAGCGTCAGAGAATTTTTATTTCATTTTATAATACATTAATCTGCCAACCTAAATGGCCGAGGTGGCTAAGAGCTTTTACTGCTTCAGCGCTTCGGGCCGAGTGGTCGCGGGTTCGAGTCCCGTCTTGGGCACAGTTTGTGCCATGTCCCTCGTGTATGTGTTGTTGCGGAGGGCATCGCGGTCTGCTGATCCCAGATCCGAGGAGCCCGCAAGAGAGCTGGTGTCTCGTGTACGGTCGAATGCGCGTTCCATCGGGACGTGAAGGGTACCTGCTGTCTGCTGCACAGTAGCCCTAGGGAAAAAAGATATCGACTTCTAAACGCTGAGTAAATTTCAGTCTGGCCTCGGCCGCGCTCGAGGCAACATCGTACGCTCCGAGTTCTCCGTCTGAAAGGCAGTGCTACTCGAAAAACGTGCTCGAAGTGAACGTGTCTAATCTGGTGAATAGTTATCTTTGCGATTAGTCACTAAGTGTAGCGAAGAATGTTTATACGCATATTATAAGGTGTGAAATGGAATCGAACGGAGAATCAACTGCCGGGATGACCTCGCTCAAGATCGCCCGAGTTATACGAGTAACAAAGTTGTTCAGAATGCAATGTACTCTGACAAAGACCAAGGAATTATTATCGACGGTAAAGGTTGCAGTACTTCTCTAGAAAGGTATGTTGAAGCGCTAGCAGCTCTCGTTCAACCTAGACATATGTACAATTCGAAGATTTCGAATAATCGCGTATGTAAATTTCTTACGTGCAAGAAATTAGTAGACAATATTGCTGAGAAATACAAGATCATAAACATTGAGAGCAGTGAACAGAATGTAAGACCTTGTGGTAGCAAACAGAGACGTATAGTATTGTCTAATGTGTACTCAGTGATTCCAAATTCAGTTATAGAGCAAGAGCTCGACAAGCCAAATATTATTAGAAGTTACCTAGTATCATTTCTTTACAAAAGAGAATGTTTCGTGTGTATGAAGTTTTCCATGGCAGCTGTACGTGTCTGATGAATCTGTAAGTGAAATACCAGATTCTATTGTTGTTGAATTCAAAGGAGAAAGGAATTGGATTTTTTTAATCTGCCGGCTGTATAAACTATTTTCAATGTAAAGAGGAAGTTCATATTGCAAGAAATTGTAAAAACGTGGATATCGCCAATTCATGTGACACTGAAACAGTGCATGAAGTAATGGCTGTCGTGAACGAACACGAAAGTTTCATTGCCTTATACTTTCTCTCCTCTGAGTGACGGGAGACCAATTAAAAGACATTTATCACAGATTACCAACTCATTCAGTGACGCGTCTCCTCCAAACACGTTAGGGCAATTGTAAGTGCGGAAAATCTTGAGAAACCATCCAAAAGGGAAGAAGAAAAAGAACAATGCAAAGAATGAAGGAAGTAATGTTAACGCGGGAGTATTCACAATAGATCTGTGAGATCCAAACCATGGCAATTTTTTATTCCTGAATTATTGCGATGCATTAGTCGTCTGATATTTCGTGTATTCCTTAATTGTACTTTACTGAGAACGCCTGGCCTTCTATTTTTATGCTTTCGTTGAATAATTTCCCGTGAGCATGTTGAAACGTGATCGCTGCGCTACGCGATATCTGGCGAATGGCTCCAATTTTTAAAATTAAAAAAAATATGTTGTACAATCCCTTACAAAGCTGTCATGCTGGTGGAGTGTGAATGTGCGCAGGGCGCTGTGGGTGGGCCAGTGGCACCAGCTGCCCGTGGTGCTCTGTCCAGATGGACTCCTGAGGGCCTGGTGGCGACGGAAGCATTGGAGCAGTGTGCATGTGCGCAGGTTGGTGTGGGCGGCGGTGGTGGCGGCGTCGATGGGCGCGGCGTTGGTGTTGGTGCTGCGCAACTACCAGCGCTTCTCGCAGAGCCCCACCGTGGTGGCGCTGGAGATGGACTTCGCCAACTGGAACGTGTCGCTGCCCGCCATCACCGTCTGCTTCCCCGGGCGAGCGGACCCGCAGCGCGCAGAGGCCGCTGTGCGCAGGTGGGGGCGCTCTCGCTTACCCTCTTTTCCTCTCTGCACTGTGGAACAGGGAGGTGAAGTTCGTGAGTCACCTCAACAATACGATTTCGAAATTTTGATCGTAAAATCCATGTTTAAGCTGTTTGAATCAATAACTCTGACACACCTCAGTAGTAAGGTCAAGAGTGCTGTTCCAACGATGGTTAAGATTGATGGAGGTCATGAGGAGAGACACGCAGTTCTATACCTGAAAATTGGAATGGCCATATGATGTAAGGCAAGGGAAGATGTCACGCATGTCACGCACGACTCTAGGAGATTATAACTCCGAGCTGAAACATGTTAAATACGCCAGGATTAAGTTCATGTTGTGCCGTTCCGAAAATTTTAGCTTTTTGGAAGGGCAGTACTTTACACGAAGCGTCTATAATATTTACAAATTTCTCAAGAATGTCTTCAATTTTTTTTCTTTAATTACTTTCTGGCTACGGAGTAGAGCTGTGCGAGAAAACGGCGAATTTTCGGTAGAAAAACTCTTATTACAGGGCCCCAGCAGCGAAAAAGTGGATAAATCCAGTTAAATTTAGAGCCAAAAATCATCTAACACGTGGAGTAGCCAGAGCAATATTTTGTGGGACCTTGATACAGAAAAATTGAATGACGGCAAAACGTTTGTCCGTCCATCTGTTACAGACGCTACTAGCTAAACCGTTCCGCCAATTGTCTACAAAATTGATATTCCCCAATCGGTCTGGCTGATGTCGTGGCCTCTTTAATTTGAAACCGATATTTTAATTTTGGGAGACCTTTAAATGAAACCCGAGGAAATTTTCAAAAAAAAATGGCTCCATGCTTTTTTATTACATTTTATTGTTGGATGGTGTGAAGAACTTTTGAGATAACGATGCTGGTATCATGTTCGTTGAAAACATACTTTTTGGAAAATTGCATAAGTTCATATTTTTTCTGAGTTTTACTACAACTACAATTAAGAAGAGGGACATTTTTTGCCTTAATGAAATCTGTTTCTTAAAGATAGATTTTGAAATAAGGTCACGTACAATTGTTCGGAAATTTGAGTTCTTTTCACGTACATTTGCGTGACAGACCCGATTTTTTCTCCAAATCCCAGATAACAATATCCGCTTTATTTGCTGCTATCATGCGATCCGTTTAGAATATTGTACGACTAACAAATGCAAAGAGTCCAACAGATGTCACCGGTTTTGGTGAGTGTTCGTACCACTTGGGGCTTATGCTTGGAAGTTCGAGGGCGGTACAGATCTGCTAGTGAAGGTAACTACTAGTACACACCCTGTCGTGTCTTTTCAAGTATTCGGTCTTCTTCTTCTTCTTCTTCTTCTTTTTCTTTTTCTTTTTCTTCTTCTTCTTCTTCTTCTTCTTCTTATTATTATTATTATTCTTATTATTGTCTTACTTATTCACAATTAAATCTATGGTCGGTAATGTCAACGCACACACAGGTAAATGATGACCAGGTGTGTGATTGCTTTAACTTTGAAGGTTCAGAATGGCTTCTGAACAATAGGCATGTATTCAAATTACGTGTCTTTTGCCATATTATAATACATTTCCTGGTATCCAAGTGAAAGACACTCCAGTGCCGAGTGTCATTTTCCGGGATCACTCCGTCAGCTGATATCTATTATAGGCACAGTCGGTCACTTTACCTGAAGTTCCAGCTGAGTTGCGACTTCATAGCGAGATTAGTATACTTCTGGATCTCTTTGAATATTTCTTCCGGATACCTGTTGTGGGTTATTGGGTATTGTAATATATCGATAAGGAAAACCATTCTGTTGGGTTTCTATCAATGTACGTTATATCGCGGTCTATTGCCGCCGACATGTCTGTCAGTGGATGAATGGAACGATTCCCCATAGAGTATGTGCTCACTATTTTCAAGCACATTCTGAGCACATATTTATAATAGCGGCCATCGGAAGTTGGCGAGTTAAGCCCGTTCTTCAACGCAATATATGTGGTGTTCAACCTGCTTCGCCACTTTCATCGATGCCATCTCTTTGTATTCCACCTGTGCGTGGGCTGTTACATACATCATGTCAGTGTTTTGGAATTAGTTTTTCGCTTGCAGCCTCACATCTTCTAACACGAGTCGGAATGAATGGTGAGAATCTCCTCTAGAAATGTGTTTTTCTGTATTCAATTGTTGGTAGAACTACTTGGTCCTTGTGATAGCTTCAAGTGAAGTTTTCCTGTCCCTCCGGAAAGAGATCCTGCGTGCTGGACCATGCGTTACGACGCAAGATGTCGACTTCTGGTTTAGCTCAGCTCGTGAGGGTAGTCTTCCATGCAGTGCCTATTGCTTTCCTATAAGGTTTCTCTCTCTTTCTTCGTTTCAAGTGATTGGTTGAACAGGCGGAATCAAGCTTTTTCAAGTTCAGCAGGACTATAGTATCAACCTGCGCTCACTGCTTGCTGACTCTCCCCAAATGTTCCAAGAAGTAATCTTCTGAGTGTGAAGCAATTTGAGAGCTTGTGTAAGATTAATGAGAATCTACATACTCGCCCTTTCCCCTTTGGGCGACCGCTTGGAAGGGTAAAACGGCTCCAGTACTTGAATGGGGATGATGTTTTCGGTGTGTAGAGTCCAATAGGCGGTTCGATGGTTCTCTGGAGGTTTGTCGAGTCGTAATTGCTCCATTTAATAACGCCAAAGGAGTATGTCAAGCAGCTGGAATAACAATGACAATTGATGGCTCTGCCACAAGGTTTCCTAGCAGAGAGTTGAGGTTTTTTAAAGAGC